GTTCAGCAGACATCAGGCAGCCTCTCACCTTCCCTCCGCCCCAAACCTGGTCTATTCTAAATGGGACAGGCTGAAGAATGTCCCACCACACTCCCTGGGGCACAGACCTTCTTTTCTTGTTTTCAATTTATTTATTTACTTATTTATTTTTGGCTGCGCCACAGGGCGTGCGGGAATCTTGTTTCCCCGACCAGGGATCAAACCCATGCCCCCTGCAGTGGAAGCATGGAGTCGTAACCACTGCACTTCCAGGGAAGTCCCCAGGCCTTCTTTTCTAAGTCTCGGGACTTCGAGACGTGAGGGCCTTTGGGGTGTTGTTCTTTGATTTTCCAAAGCAGTGGTGCACCCTTCCTTCTCGCTCTCTTGCTCACTGAGGCATATGTGCAAAGGTCTACTTGCTAACAGGCATCTTCCTGGACCGTGTGCTTGGCAAGAGACCATACCCCCAGGGCTGGTAGCAGTGAAGGCAGCGTAGCAAGGCAGTTAATCATGGAGGCTCTGAACCAGGAAGACCTGGGTTCAAGTCCAGGCTCTACCACTTATACGCTGTGTGACATTAGCCAAGTTAACTTCCCTGAGCCTCAGTTTCCCCAACTGTAAAATGGGATGGAGTTGGATTGAGGATTAAATTAGATCCTAAGCACGGAGGACCTGGTTTTATTACCCAGGGGAGCTCACCCTCTGCTTCCTTCCTTGCAGGTTCTCAGATAGATGACCATGTTCCAAAGAGAGCCTCAGCTCGGATCCTCGCTCCCCCCGGAGGCAGGTCAAGTGGCATTTGGTAAAGGCACTGACCAGCCCCCCAAGTGAAGATGCACCGCTGCCACCAGCCCACACGCCCTCCGGCCACAGCTGCAGGGGGCGGGAGAGGCCGGGCTGGGCAGCACACCACCTGAGGGGGCCCCGGGACACGGGGAGCCCTCCCCATGTCTGACACGTGATTCACTGTGCTTCGAGCCGACCCTAACAGGCACTTTGAGATGTGTTCCTCCTGCTGCAGTCCTTCCCTGCCTTGGCCTCGGCAGGCTTCCCAGGGGCCCATGCTATGCACAGAGCCCAATGCATAGAGCCTGGCCCCGCCCCTCCTCTCACACCCGCCTCTGGGCTGGCCTTGGGAAAGCCCGACCTTAGTGCCCTGCCCCTGGCTGACCCGCCAGCTGTCCAGAGCACTTTAGCAGATGTGTTTTAAAAGAAAAGGACTCCCTCCCCCATCCCCTTTGGCCCAGTGGTCACTTTCCCCAAGTCAGACAGGTGTTAGCATCCCAGCCATGCCCAGGACATCCGGTTTTTCCCCACTCATCTCCCGCCCTTGTTTGGTTGTGGCTGGGACACTCTGTGCCCTTTGCCAGCTGCTTCCTCTCCGCCACCCCCCAGGAGTCCCAGGCCCAGAAGGGCTGGCCGGGCGGGCATGAGGCTGGTGCCAGACGCGTGTATATGATTTTGTTTTGCACGTTTGGTTTGCGCAGTGGTTTGGTTTGACTTGTTTGTGCATCCTGTGAAAAATGACGGTGCTTCGTGTCACTAGCATAGCATAGAAACAGGAATAGATGTGGACCTTAGGAGATGCTGCATCGACACCAACCAGACAGCCTAGGGCACCGATGACAGGGGTGAGAGGGGGATACTGGACTCGCGGGCCCTTTTTCTCCCTTCCTGGAGTCTTCCTGTCCTTCCCCTCCCCTCCTGGTCTAGTTTCCTGCATCCTGAGAGGGTGCCCGGGATGCTGGCCCTGCAGACCTTCAGGGAGCAGGGTGGCCTTTCCCATCTCTGGCCCTGGTCACTCCCAGCACTAACGCCACACAAACACACCCAGCCGCCTGTAGGCTTCCGCCTACTGGACCGAGGCCCCGCCGCTCATCTGTGTGATTGGCGAGAGGCCTCATGCCTGCTAAGAGAGATGGGGGTGGGACTAGATGCCAGGTGGGAGGCCAGGCCAGCAGGACCTGGTTGTAGCCCACAACGCTGCTCCGGGGCTGCAGTCTCCTGTGGTCAGCACCTCACCCTAACCTGCCTGTGGCCTCCATCTCCTCCCAGTTGGGCCCTCCCTGCCTCCAAAGCTCCAGGTGGTTTCCATGGAAACACTAGCGGCTGCCCTTGCTAAGCCTTGTTCCCCCTCGGGGAGTGACATCATGTTGCACATTTGGTCTGAGCACCCGGGCTGACACGCGGCTCCTGGTCTCTTGGGCTGGTGGTCATACCCGGCACATTTCTGTAGTGCTTTTCACGTTGTCAAAGCCCTTTCATGTATGAGCTCTCAATTGCTCCTCATGACAGCAAAGTGTGTATTATTCTCCACATTTCACAGCTGTGGCCCAGAAAGCTTAGGCCTTCTGACTCCAGAAATGTCCAGGACTGCCCTTAAGAGCTTGGCTGTGTACCCTAGCTGTGGACAGGAGGAGTAGAGTGACATCTCTTGCAGATCCCACCTGAGAGTTTAACCAACTAAAAGACTTACTCTCCCAGTAGGCATTCTGCTTTGTTTTGCACAGGTAGATAAATTTTTCTTGTAAACAAACTGACGCGTATCACTGTTTGAGCCAGAGCCAGTTACTTGTTGGAGGCCTGTCCTGTGGTTTGAGCTGTCCCCACATCCTCACTTAGGAGCTGAGAGGACTGAGACAGTAACCCAGGAGGCAGAGGCAACAAAGACACTCATGGAGGGTGGTGGCCATGGGGACAGTTGGTGGGGATCTGAGCCTAGGAAATTGTGTGACGCTGACCCCGTGGTACAGTGCGCATCATCTTTATCCCTTTCAGCCCTTGCTGGGTCATGGGCCTTGGGCAGATGCCAAAGAGCCAGGCAGTGGTGGTGGCCAGGGGGCAGAGCATCCCTGCTTGGGCTAGGAAAGCTTTACCTTCTCTGAGTGCCTCCGCCCAAGAGATGCATGGTCCGTGGCTCTGGGAGACCACATGTTGTTGTGGTCCATCGAAGGCCTTCCACTTCATTCACCCCCGACCCTTACGTAGACCCACCCTTGCCCAGGAGCTTCTAGATGAAAATCAGAAGGAGGTTCAAGGAACCAAATGAAAGGTCACCCCCTGCCACCCATTCCCTGCCCCTGTGCCGAGCTCCAGCCAGCCCCATCACCAGCCCCATTGGCTCTTGGTTGGAATGAAAAGGGTCTCTGGTTGCACTGAATGCAGCTCTCAAACTGGTCTTGTACTTGCTGAATAAATACTGTTGTTCTTGCCTTAGCTGCTCTCTAGGTTTGTGGGGTTAAGTTACCAGAAAATTGTGCTACTCTGTGTGTGTGTGTGTGTGTGTGTGTGTGTGTGTGTGTGTGTGCGCGTGTGTGTAGTGCTAGGAGTCCACAGTAGGTCTCGGTCAAGCCAATGCCGTGATGAGGGCTTTTCCGACCCTGACCCAGAAACCACAGAACCACTCGGAAACCCAAACCCCCTCCAGCTGCCCAGGTGGCAGGCACAGCCTGGGGTCGGGATGGAGCCTCCAGCACCCAAGTGACTTCCTCACTCCTCTGTAAATGTCATGGTGCTAAGATTGTGTCAACCCCAAGATGACACATGGTCCTGTGCTTTGGCCACCTGACTGAGGCAAAAACAAAACAGCCCGACTCGTTGTGTTCTGGTGCAGGTTTGTATTAAACTGTAGTTACTTCTCACTTGGTCTCAGTTGTGTTTCTTCAAAGAAGAGGGAGCTTGGTAGGGGGCCCCTTCTTCCACAGTGGCTGGGATGAGGCTTCAGTTGCTAAAAAAGTCAGCTTTGGGTCTTCACTTGTGTTAGGTGGCAGGTGGCAGCTCACTGGCAGGCCTGAGCAGAGACTGAAGATTAAAAATGTTAAGAGATGGGAGCCTCAGTGGCCCAACAGCTAGTAGTCAGTCCTCTCTCCTGGTGGGAACAAAACCAAGGTTTTTGGTGCCAAATATCCCAGGACAAGTTTGGGCTGAGTTATCTGAAACAGGAATAATTAGGGGAAAACATCAGATACAAAAGGCAGGCAGGAGTGGGGATGGGACTAGGCTTTCCCCACCCACCCTTTGTCACCTACTCTCTTGGTTACCATTTTGGAAACCCATAGCCCCGTCTTCACACTGGAACCCTTGGCTGTTGGAATCACGGTCTCACAAAATCCCATTTCAAAGGACTGTACAAGGCCAGTGTGTCTTTGAAGGACCTGCAGGCTGCTCCCTGGCTCTCCGGAACCCCACCTTTTGGATTGGCCCACTGTGCCTTCAAACCCTTCCATCTGCATCAAGACTAATCTACCTTCTCTTAGATCTCAGCCAGAGGCTGGGGGGGTTATCTGATCAAACACTCTCACACTAAAGAGTGAGTGAAATTGTTGCTACCAGTACTATGGGGTCACTTGTACTTCTTAGCCCCCAAAAAACAAAACCTTAATGAGGGAATTTTAGGTAGAATGGAGAAATAGTTGGCAGCCGGAGAACCTTCTCAGTTCTCACCAAATAAGCAACCCTCATGCAAATAAGGCAGCCCATGACCAAAAGAAGTACCCAGACCACTGCAGTTAGGACAGAGCCCTTCACTGTAATGAAACGAGCTGTGTGTATAAGTTCTACTGGGGTTTCGGAGCCAGATGGAAACACCATTATTGGGCTTGTGAAGGATGCCAAGTCCCTGGGATGATACTGGGCCAAAGCACCTGTGTTACCTTGTTTCTCCATAGCATGCATGGGAGCACACCAGAATTTGATTAACTGCCAAAAATCTTTTGTAAGTGTTTGAATGAAAAATGGCATGGCAACTCATTTGGCAGGTCATGTGCACGGTAGCAGGTGGTTTATAGAAAAAAAAAAAAAAAAAAGATACCCAGGAAGACACTGGTTGCCTTTGTACGTATGTAGTTGTGGGAAAACAAAAGACCACAGACTCAGACTTTAAAAGTCACATTTGATCGTTTGTAAGAATCTCCATTTGTGGAAATTGAACCAGCCAGCAGCTAAGCAACAATCACCCTCAATTTCTTCACTCCAATTACAGGCTGACTCTTATATACAGGTACAGCCTAACACTAAGAATTGCCTTGCAGTTCTTGCAGTGGAGGAGGATGGGCCTCATGACACCCAAGTTATGAAGAAGAAACCTCACGATACACGGGCAGCGTAGACCTTCTAGTCCTAAGTTAATAAACGGCTATTTGACCGTGTTGCTGATAACACATTTGAAAGGGCTCTTAGTACTTTTCCAGCAAAACATTCAAGGATCTAACATTTGCTGATACTTGATACCATCTTATAATGATGGCAGCTGAGTTGTTCACCTGCTTCCCTTCATATATTTACAAACCACACATTTATACCTAGAGGTATCTTGTCCGGGTTTGCCCAGACAGTCCTGGTTTAAGTCTATTGCCCTCCAGGATAATTATTAATAGCGCCCCCTTCACTTTCAAATGTGTCTTGGTTTGGACAATAAATAGGTACGCCTATATGTTCATGAGCTTATTAATATGGTTGTCAGGAGTCAAAAGTTTTTCCATCACTGAAAGATGGGGGGCAGGGCATGGTGAGAGGCGAGGAAAATGGGTCCTTTTTCACGGGTGACGACTGGAGTTTCTGGTGTCGAGCTCTGAATCTCCGCACAGCCCTCAGAAGCCTCGTGAGGTCTCAGTGGCTGTGGATGCAGCAGAGTGGTAAAGGCCTGGGGGCATTTTCCTAGCTTTTCAGTTTAGCTTATAGACCTTATTATTCCATTAAAAGTTGTAAGCCTACCAAATTTTATCCTTTACTTTTAAGGGGACTTTGATTCAATTTATAAACTTAAACACATTACAACATTTAAAATTACATTTAAAATTCTATTTCCTTTTTAAATATCTTTCCCAAGTACTAAATAATTATTACCAATCTGACAAACTTAGAAATATAGTGAGCTTAGAGGTTTATTAGATATTTCTTTGCTGAGCATAAATTTAGTAAGTTTTCAACATAAAGTCATAAGTTACACATTTTAAATTAGTTCTGGGGCGCTTACTGTAATAGGCCAAAATTTCTTTTACAAGTATGACA